TGTGTGTGTGTGTGTGTGTCTGACAGAACAAGAGAGAGAGAAAGCGAGCAGTGAACTGCAGATGTCTGGCTCTCACAGCAAACACAGCTTCTGCAGGAAACTAAGACATACAGTATCTGTGCAAACGGTGCAGATATTGTCAGCTGCTGAGCAAAAAGCCTCCTTTAACTTGCACTTCTTAATAAGGGAAACGCTGATTGCGATGCAGGACTCCGCTAATAGCAGGATATCACTGTGCAATATTGCTCTAGAACACATCGACGTGCCGGGCCACTTATTTTCCTCTAATTAACAACCTGACAATGAAATTCGTCGCATTGGTTACACTTACCAATGTGGTTATTTTCTGACACTGCCACCCAACAATTAAATTAGCGCCTGCCCATCACAGCTTAAAGTGGAGCGTTGACTGCGTCCCGATTTAAAATAACTTGCTGCTGTGTTAATGAGACCGAGCGAGCAGCGCGGCCTTTCACTGCCGCTGAATAGCCACGTTCGCCGTCAACATGCGACCAACACGGAGAGCTCATTTAAAGTGACATTAGCCAATTCTGCATGCTAATTACTTTCAAAATATGACACGGAGCTGGGGAAGGGTGGGCTTTCAGCATCCCTCTGCACTGCCACGCTGAGTGATAAGGGCTTCGATAAGCTGCTTGAAACTATTAATTAGCTGCAATGGATTCTTACAGTCAATGAGGTTTTGTTTATCCTGCTAATGTCACTCCTTCGATTTCATTTTGGAGACTGAGAAGAATGGAAATGTGTTTTGTTTGCTCTTTTACTGCCTGATTTTTAAATCTCCTACTTCATCGTAAAGAATGGGGAAAATAATAAGCAAATTCAAGCCTGCATAGTTTGGATGAATTTTAAACGCGTGACTTCTGGAGCAAAACAAAGAAAGCTGCCACAACTGTGTTAAGTTGTATTGCTACATGCGCCAAAGAGTGCATTTAAAAAAAGAAAAAAGAAAACACTGGATGAACATATGGCATGAATACTTTTGTATTTAATCCTTTCCTTTACTATTTATTTTCCAACAATCAGAGCAGCCATCAGAGATCGAAACCTCTAAATCAGACATGACTTTCAGGGATGCTTGCTGACAAGCTTTCAGATCACAGCCAAAGATAGCTCAGTGTGATGTACATCCACATCAAAGAACTGCTGATCCTCACAAGGTCCAAGGTCCCTGACTAACCTGCATCAACAATCGGTGAGGTTTGCTGGGGGACATATCAAAGAATGCCAGCATCACTAACTGTGTCAACAATTACTCTGTGTCATAGGAAATCAAAAGAAAATAGTGCCGCGCTTTACCGCTTCAGCCCACTCATTTCTCGCCTCTCTGGCTAATATTTTTGTTTTTCTCTCTTTGGACGGCTGCTTCTAGCCCATCTTGGTCGATCGATACTGGGAAGCCGAGGTGAGTCGAGGCGGGTCTGTGTGGGAAGGCTGTCAATGATGAATGGTTAGATGCGGGGGTTTTAGGATATTCGGCTAATTCTGATGTCTTTCACCTGCGTTTATCAAAAAATATATTCTGCTTGCTTGTTGCTCACATAAGCATCTATTGAGTCCTGCTGACATGAAGCAGGGTGGGCCGAAGCGAGGCTACAGAGTTCAGCTGTGCAGTTTGAGATGTCTGTGTACTTTTAAAGGGCAACAAACTTCCCGCAGATAAAGTCAAGGCTGCTTGCTTTCCCCAGCAGCCTCAACAACAGCGAGCTAACAAGCTGCGCCCTGTTAAAAGCCGGACATGACAACTCTTCTGTTAAATTATAATCCTAGAGAGGCAACTTTACGGTGTACCTTTGATATCTTGATGTGAGACTTTCTCAGCCGGCAGCCCCGCCCTGGCTAAAAGATGAGGTAGATACTTTGCCTCTGTTGTGTAAAATCTGTGATGTGAAAAGATTTAATTAAGATAGGCCGAGGAGTCATAATTAATTCTGCCTCTCTCTGAGTCAGGCTTACTGTCAAGAACACAGGGAAAGGCTCCCAGAATAAATTACAGGAGGGTCGTGTGTGTGTCTGAGGGGGTAATGGGTGTGGAGCCCTTGGTTACTGTACTGTTCTCGCAGAGCCGAAAAGCAGTTGTGTCAGTTCTGGGTAGTGTTCACAAAGTCTAAGTGAGCCCGCCGGCACTTTTTTTTAACAAGCGTCCCACCGTCTTAGATCAAATCACGTTTCAGCCCAGGAGTTTATTTTGACTGTCAGTGAGGAGCATCCTCTGGAGAGAGCTGTCAGTGACAAATGTGAAATGGAAGATTCACAGCGAATGGGCTCTTTCCAGGCAGGCGGTGCTGAACACGGCTGCAGTCACAGGAGACCTCTGAACTGTCTGCGGCTCGACTCTCCCATTACACTTCCTTTATAGTGATGGTCTGGCCTATTTTGAATCTTGTTTGGTCCTTGTTCAGCTACCTAAGCTTGTAATAGGAGGAAACGAAGGGTACATCTCCAGAGAAACACTCATTCTGACACACAGTCTATTTTGTTCAAGTGGCATAACTTAAAAAAAAACCTTCATAAGTCTTAACAGAGACTACATGTATTATTACCAGTGTCTCCTTTGCATGTCCTTAACAAGCGGATGAGCATTTTCTGTTTTCTCTGCATGTGGTTGCTAACAGCTGGGAGGCAAGCGCCTCATTCGTCAAGAATTTCTCTCATTCAACCCTAATTTCCAAAGTCCAGTATTAATCCCTCAAGCTGCAAATTCTGTGAGCTTTTTAGCTTTGGCCAAACATGCAACAACTGTCTTATTATCAGGAGACGACAGGCAATAATGAGTATGGCCAGAGCTGAGCAACTGCTGCGTTGAGCTTTCAAAGAAAGAGCCTAATTAAAGGCTGCTTTGTGACTTTTGTCACTTTTTTTGACTGGTGATTATAGGCCATTCATTGGGGAGGACTCATCAGCTATTTGCGGGTGGCGCACGCCATAAATATCACGTGAGAGCTTTGCTTATGTTGTGCCGAACCCGCATTTTTTTCCCCCCAGTAAGCTCCCAAGATTCTCTCGCTCTAATTTGCAGAACAAATTCCTTTACTTTCTGCAGAATCTCCTCTCGCTAATAAGGTCGTCTCATAAACGGCTTTTCAGAGACAAACTAGGCTGTTTAAAAATGCAGGCTCCTTGGTATCTTTTCTGTGATTTCCTGTAATTAAGTACTGGAGAGAGCGGCGGAGTGAGCGTCCTTGGCATCGAGGACAAGTTCAGTAGAACAAGCTTTGTTCCTTTTGGAGCTGATTTGACTAATGGCAGAGCTATATTAGCCCTCTGCTGGTTTGCAGCATCTTTTAAATCACCCCTCCACTGCTACTAAAACCATACGTCTCCAAAAAGTGGCCTACTGCTGTATTTGGGCCAACTCTAATTGTCTCGCTAATCTCTTCAGCGTTAAATGACCCAGAGAAACTGGGTCCCACAGGGCAGACTTACCCTGCTGATTGGAAACTTTGCTTTTTGTTTTGCTTGGCATATTAAAACAGCATAGGCTGCTGATGGAAAGCCTACAGAACTATTGGAAATGTAATTAAGGGCTAGCAGCAGCTTTTAAACGGTTGACTAGTGCAGAAACAAACTGTGCCCTTCAGACAGCAAAAACTTTAATACATGGGAAATGAGTGGCCCGATCGATAAGGAGGGCGTTATTTCTTTTGTACGGGAAAATTCAATGGAGGACAGAAATGGGCTGTTTCGGTGCCTGCATACTATTTCTCATTTTCCCAGCGGCGAGCCAAATTTTATGGCAATATTTGCTTGAAAAGCAGACAAATAGAGTCCTCTCTGTAAGATATAATCATTTGTCAAGTCAATTTCGTCTGTCATTAAAACAAAAACAAATAGCTGCTCTAAGCTGTGCCGACTGCAATTGAATCTCCAGTGTTTTGTGATGAGGCACAAAAGATGAATAAAAAAAAAAAGAAAACTACACAGCGCATGTACTCCTCAGGTGCTGAGGTGAGGCAGAGTTGAGAAATGCTTCAATCAAGCACAATTATTTGTTGAAACCATTTTGGACTGACAGTGAGCACCCTATTGTCCCTACAATAGGCTGTTCACAATTACATTCATCACAAACCACCTCTTATTTGACGCATTTTTTTTTAAGCTGACATCTTTCACAAACTGCTTTTCCAAACAAGCCGGCCTATGGGGCGAGTGATTGAGCAATTATCAGAAACAGATTCAGCAAACCCATACTGTGGCCTTTTGTCCCCGGCATCAGCCAGTCTTGGGATCATTAGAAACCTTTTCTCTTCGTGTTTTCTCTCTTCAAAACCTCCGGCTTTGTAGCCTGCACACAAGCGGGATGATACAACACCTTCAGAACTAGTAGGAGTCCATCCCTGGCTATCTGTCAGTGTAGCAAACCCCCCCAAAAAACATCAAAGTCTATCAAACACTATCTCACTGTGCTGCCTCTGATAAATATTCATGATAGAAGCTCGAAAACCAGCTGTTTTTCCCCAATTAAAGTGTGCCGAGATCTACTGTTTTGGAACTAAAGTGTTGCTTTTTTTAATTAATGGCTCATGTTACTGCACTAGGAACAACTGAAAAATATTGTACTCATTCCAGAAATGTGCTGGATAAGAACATATGGATAACAAGGTGAGGAAATGGTGCGGCGCAGAGCTTCCGTTACTCACGGCAAAGGGAGGGGTACATCCTATTAGACCTTATCAGAAAGATGTGAATGGCGCTTTGGTAACAGGTATTGAACGTCAGCCCAAGTGGCCATGCAGAGCAGATCAAATCAAGTCATCAAAAGATCCTCCTTACATCAAAGCACAGAGCAGGCCTGGCCACGTGCCTGCCATACCAACAGTGCAGAGACAAAAAGCGGGGCAGCCAAAACTGGCAAAGCGGCACAGACGGTTGCCCACTTCAAAGGCAGGGATCTGCTGTCTGCGGTCATTATTCCCAGGCACCCCCCAGAAACCCAGCGGTCAATGAAGGCGAGCGGCGAGAAACCACTGAGGACTTACCATCAACAGTCGGTGCGAAGTGAAGTGGGTTGTCTGAAAAAGATAAAAGAGAAAGAGAGAAATAGGTTTTTAGTTTTGGGGAGATTCAGCGACTTCCCAGGAGTAAAGGGAGTAAATTGAGTTGCTACAAAAAAAAGAAGAGACAGGGCTTGGCGTTTTCATCTAACACATTCTAATGCAATGACTGGGTCCTACAGGAATCCAGCTGAGCTAATCGACACAAGCACATTTCAGCGATAGCGCTATCATCATTGTCATTCATTACATCTATGGTCTATCTGATCTGAACCCCGCTGCATGACTTTTGATATTAGAGCACATGAGAGTTGAGAAGGCAGACGTCTGTTATTGTTTCAGATTCAAAAGTATGAGACAAGATGTGAAATTACACAATACTGATGTCATAGTGTACCTCGGACCCCCACCAGCCCTCATGCAGCTATATGCATAATAAATCAGAATGTTTTCCCTTAATTCATCAAATGACATCATACCGTTGTCCTGGTCAAAACCCAGCAGACCATGACATAAGGCTCGTCGTTTCATGGGAACCATAAAACAAGACCTGCGGTGTCAAATGACTGAGTGTGGAAAATCACTCACAGGGGGAAAAAACTCTCAGGTAACCTGAATCCTTTGCAAATGAGTGCAAACTTGACCAGGCCGTTTGCACTGATTACAAACCCTTATATATAATGAAGATTGATGGAGGTTGGTTCCACATTACTTGACAGGAAAAACAGGGGCTATTGTTAAAAACTGAAACACGGCTAAAACTAACAATTGTTATTACATTGTTGCTTAATCTCATGATTATTTTTCAATTAGATGATCAATTTGTTTAGGAGCCAAAATAAAAAAGGAGTGAAAAAAGCAATTTCCCAAAGCCTTAGGAGATGTTCAGTCTGCAAGCCCAAAATGTGCAATTTCCAATGTTAAACAGCCAATTTCCTGATTTTAGTGGCTATAACCAGGGAAAAAAAGTTTTCTTGCAAAACAATGGCCTATTCATGCTGGGGTAGATTAATTTTCTGTGGCTTGACTAACTGATTAAACATCATTTAAGTGGTGAACGGAGGACAATCAAGTATACAGGCAGCACACACATATGGTACAAGTGAAGTAAACACACGTCCTGCAGAGTTATACTATGTCAATTAAAAATAACACAGGATCAGTCCTGAGCTACGCGTGCACACGTATACAGAAGGAAGCAGACATGCTCTTTCTTAAAACAATTATTAAATATAATAATAATAAGTAAAGTAGCACAATCAGCTGCCTATTCATTGAGGCCCTCATCCTGTGGAGCACATTCAAATCCACCGTCTTGGACAGCAGCTGTTCTGTTCTCCGCCTGCCGCAGGTTCTAGGTGGTGTGTGCTCAGATTTCATCACTACAACCACTAAACTAGAGACATCGTGGATGGCCAGACAGGAAGGACTGGAGCTAGTTAGTCTGCAGCAACTCAACTTCCAAAATATGATAGATGGAGATTGTTCATTAGTAAATTCACCACAAATGGCGTCTTATTTTCAGACTTATGAAAGGATAAAAGTAAAAAATGACCAGAATGTGTCAACAAAACATGTATTTAGCTAAGCGGAGAGCCCGAGTAAAGTGTGCGCACCAGAAACACTACAGGTCATTACCACCATTAGTACCATTAGTAGCGATCTTTGCCTTAAAAAACTTAGTGTTTTCCTCGAAGAGCATTATGATACACTGGTCAAAGACTGGCCAAGTACTGGCGGTCCAAGCACAACCCAAATGAACCACCATCTGCACTCCAGCAGTCAACTCAACTGTCTGACTCACTAAGCAAAGCCCCAGTGAGTTGTCAGAGCTGCCTGTGCTGAACAAACACAGCAACACACACGGCTGTGCAACCACCCAGCCATGTCTCCAATGCCTCTGCACTGTGAAGGATAATGAGGAAGATAAAACACATCACATCAATTACCCTGCTAACACATTTTTCCGGGGCCCATGTCAACCGATCCGCCGAAGCCTTTTCTCAGGACTTCTGCGATCCACGTCGGCATCCCGAGACACAGCTGAGTTTTAAATTTAGGCTCACTTAAAATTGCTTGTCAACAGCCGGGGCTTCAGGGGAGAATGCGAAAGTGTGTGTATGTGTGTGCCAGCGAGCGAGCAAGAGAAAAAAATGAGGAGAGCGAAGAGGAGAGGCGAGGTTGGTGCTAGAGGTGAATAATGAAGTGTCTGGTGAAGCTGTTTCCTAGTCAGTCATGACAGTAGCTGATTTCTATCTGAGGGGATTTCAAGAAAACACATGAAACGGGGGGAGCAGAAATTGGCACGAGGATGATACAGAAGAAGAAGTTGTTCTAAGAGCTGTAAAGGTGCACAGACGCAGACTCTGCTTCCTGTCTTGCATTTGAATGCACGTCTAAACGAGAAGAAACAAACGCACGCCAATAAAAGCGCATTACCGCACATGGAGAATAAGAGAAGACGACAGAGAAGGTGTAGCACAAAGCCAGCTGAGATGCTGGGGGAAAGCTAAACGATTTCTTCACATTTCCATAGCGAAAGCACAAGATAAGGTCTCTCCATAAACATATCAGCCATCTTCATCTCCCTTCGCGCCTCGCAAAGCCTGCGTGAGTTCCCGTGCCTGTGTGAATGTCACAACACGGCCATCATTCAACCTGTATCTTCAGCAAATCAATACGTGTCTGACTGTGACATTTAGCCATGTGCAGAAGAGGTGTGTGTCTACATCTTTGCATGTGTGTCACCTTCCCCTTTGCTTTGGCTGATGTATAGTCATACCGAATGATGAAGTGAGTGTGTGTCCGCGTTGGCAGGGGGGAAAAAAAGCATTTGGGAGGGGCGGGGGCTACAAACTGTGTGCGTATGTGCGAACATGCTTCACCCCATATGGCGACAACAGAAATTGTGAATCTGAGGTTACACACCCTTCCTTCAATCACACACACACATACACACACACGTCGCTACTACCAGCACTATCACAATCCCATCCAGCTGTCCTTGTGGCCACATGGCAAGGGCTCTCGGCAGCATAATAGAGACTCTTTCAGCTCATCAATTTCTCCAGTGCACATTTCTTTTCACTCGGTCATCTGAGAGGTGAAGATTGGCTTGCTTTAACTGAGTTTGTATTAAATCTAATAGAATCTGTCTGCCTTGAATTGATTTGGGAACACGACGAGGTTAGAAATGAGCCATCCCCATCCTGGTAACTGACACCCGTGAGTTGGAGGAGGACCGAGCAGCAAAGATGACAGGAAGACAATCTTTGACAAATGCCAGGAGAAGTATCCTCAACCGAGGTCTTTGCTTTGTATATGTGAGAACAGCCTGATAACAGAGAGAAGAGAAATCCAGCAGAAACAGGTGGAATCACAACCGTAGGCCAGAGAGAATTAAAAAAGCCTTTCTCCTCAAAATGTTTCTCAAATAGCACTTTAAATCGCATTTGGCGGTATTAAAATTACTATTACAGTTGCACTTCTTGAACGCGTTTGCTTACTTATTATAATTTGCAGGTGATTATGAGGAGCAAGTCATGCATAAATATTGGCCCACTTTGAAAAGTTGAATAAATTTCACCTTTAGCACGATTTACGCAGGCGGGGCACTCGCAAATAGAAGTGTGCAAGTCTCTGAGAGAGCGAGCAGAATGAATAAGGCTGCGTTAACAAACTGAAGCGGGGAAAACCTGCCCGTGTGTTACCGATGGTGCAAAAAAAAAAAAAAAAAAAAAAAGGTGGCAGGTGAACGTCTATTTCGGTCATGCGCCTGCTTCTATTGGATCTGAAAAGCAGCCCCTATCTGTCATGGGCTTGGCTGAGCATCAGATCAGCCCTACAAGTTGTATGCTTTGGGCTTTTAATGAGCTGCTTTTATTTCAGTGGATTAAAAGAAGAGAATTTTACATTGTGAGGAGATGACGGCGGTCAGAGTTTTCTGGGCCAAAAGATACTTAAAAAAAAATAAATCCACCAAAGACATTTAATCGCCATTTAATACTTCACTGCGCAGTTCAAAGTAAATGCCAAGGCTTTGGAGGGGAGATAGGAGCAGTCTTAGAAGCCGGCAGATACCGAATCAAGCAAAGGGGGTCGGCGGGGGGGGGCTGTGACTTTAGCTGTCTTGATGTTCCTACTTCAAGCGCAGATAAGGCTGTCATGAGAGTTAAAGGTGATTTTGAAGGGGGCATTTCCTCTGACAAGGACATTTAATGCAAAAATGAGGTAGTATGTGAAATAATAATAAAAATAAATAAGTAAATCATTCCTTCCGAGCTCAATTCTGTAGCAAAGCACTTATGGCAACAAGTCTACTGCGAAACAGTGACCCGTACATTACAGTGGAAAGCAGTACAGTGCAGACAGTTGAGTTGTGTGCTTCAGATTAACAAACGTACAATTATTGAGGAAGAGGAGGACGGCAAAGCCCAGCGTCGATGTGGCCAGCAGGATCAGACAGATGTTGCAGGGGATCATGAAGTAGCGCACCACCAGCGACACTTTGTGCTGGTACCTGCGGTCCCGCTCTTGCGGCGGCGGTGAGGGGTAGTGGCACCCGCTCATGCTCCACTCCAATGACCCGCGCCCCTCCAGCGTAGAGGAGACGACGGGACGAGGAGCTCGGCGAGGGGTGCCCAAAGACCCGTTGGAAAAAATGATGGCGGTGGGTTAGGGGTGACAGGTGGTGAAGATAAACTGAAATTTAATACAAAAAAAACAACAACAACAACAACAAAAAAATAGATGGTGGCTGTTTCAGTTGTGGTTCCAGCTGTGCACCGTGGCAGAGACCCCGTGACTGTTTCTGTCAGAGAATTGCAGCAGGAAGCTTTCAGCGGTTTCCAAGCAGCACATTTTTAGAGGTAATAACATCCATTTGGGGAAGAGGACAGGCTGAAGGGACTCCTACAGCCCCCCACCCGTCCACACGACCTCCATTCTCCTGTGGCCGCTGGAACAAAAAACAAACTAATGGGATTCTAATGTGGAAGTATGCTTGTGTGTGTTCTCGTGTGTTTTATACTTACAGAGCAAACGTGTGTGGATTTAATTGGGTGGTGATTAATGTAGCTGAATATGTGCGTTTAGTGCGCTTGTGAGGTGTACAACCTAAACCAGGAATCTGTGCGTTTGGATTGTCAGATATCCAAAGGGGAAAAACTTCCAGAGCAGACAGACGATAAATCCACAGAAGGAATCTTTTCTTTGCTGTGACCCTGATTGATAATTAGCAAAGGAGGAGTGCTCCCCTCTCCTTCTTCTTCTTCTCTTGTCAAACGCCTTTACAACGAATGCCAACGCCTGGCGCTCGCCGAAAACATCATCACAAGTATTTCCCTAAGAGGTGATGGCTGCAGATCTCATTAAGTTTCCTTGTGGCTGTTGCATGCTGGAATATCGGAGCATAAGTGCTCTTATCAGCGATGATCAGCTTCAAACTGCACACAACTTTTTTTTGTATCCACAGGACAGCTTGTTTGCCTGGTTACGGTGCGGTCCGCCGCACACCAAACCCATCCAAATCTGACATCATCACCGGAGCACCTTGCATCTTCCGCCGCGTGATTTGGAGGATGGTTAGAAGGCAGCTGGCTGCCTCTCACTCAACCATATGGAGATGGTCTGTGTTTTCTCTCCCCCGCTTGTCCTGCGTGACTGCCGCTCCTCGCTGGTTCAATACCCTTTTATTCCAATCGAGTCGCATGGAGGGGGGAGAGCAGCTGCCCCCACCTTTACACCTTCTGGAGAGCTGGGGCCAAAAGCAGGTCAAAAGAAGTGGCTGAGAGGAGGGGAAAAAGTTAGAGAGGCGAGCGATCGCCTGCTCAACCTGTCAGTCCACAGCTGTTTGCTTCCTAAGCAGCTACAGAAAATCCAGCGACGCTATGAATGAAAAACCTCATAGAGAGAAAAGGAGAAAAAACCTCCGTGTGGTTGGGAATGAAGCGAGGCGCTCGAGGCGGGGATTTGCTGGGCATTATTTCCTTGTGTCAGAAGCCCGTGAAAAAAATTCCAGCCAAATAATGAGAGGATAAGGCTCTCGCTGACCCTTGTAAGAATTAGGCTGAATTGGCTTCTGCTGTTTTACCTTTCAGAAAAATAACTTGTCCAGCATTGTCTCTCATTCTTGTGTTTGCTGCCTCTCTTTTATACGCTTGCCCAAGCATCCAGTCCCCTTTTTCACTGGGATATCTCAGTCCAGAGGCGCTCCGAGAGTCCTGGCCAGAAGGCTGTGGCTCCAGCTTCTCCTGCGTGCGTATCCAACATTCACTGGCAGCCAAAACAACAAATTAGGCTCCGGGTATTCATAGCGCGCTTAATCCCCAGGCAGCAGGTAGTGGTCCCGGTGTCAGTGCACTCAGTCAGCCAACTGAGGCACGCAGGAGAGAGTCAATGAGAGAAGTCAGCAGACAGACAGCGCGAGAGGGAAGTACACGGGAGGGAGGAGGAGTGTTGGCCATGGGAAAAGCAACTCCTTACACTTCTGTCCACCTTTCTTTTCTTTTTTTTCTTGTGGATGAAACTGCAGCGACATGTCGCTGGTTTTCCAAACAGTGTCTTCCTGAGCACGCCTCTCTCAGCCCTCAGTCAGCGGAACGGATGAGCACATAATAAGTAAGCGAGAGAGATGGTGTGAGAAAGAGAGAGAGGGGGGGAGAGATAGATGTGGGGGGGGGGGGGGGGGGAGTGTAGATGAGGGGCTGTCTTTAACAAAGGCAAGAAGGGAGGAGGGCTCCTAGTTGGTTGAAGGAAAAGAAAATGAGCAAGAATAAAAGCTTCGGGGAGTAGTACTCGAGTCCTGTCAAAGCGGGGGAGTGAGGTGGGGGGGCAGCAACAGTGTAGCAGCAAAACAAAAGAGGGCCACAGTCTTGGGAGATGTCAACCAACTCCTCCATTTGTTTATAGCGTAATCAAAAGAAAGTCTCTTCCACAAGAGCTGGAGAATTTCCACAAAGATTTAATGAGGCAAACTGAGAGAAAATAGGCCCGTGGAAGGAGGAGGGAGCAAAACTTAAACACATTAAAGTCAATCATGTATTAACACTCTCCAAACAGCCTAACCCACTTGTCACCAATATGCACAACTAGCGCAGATATAAGCCCGGGAAAAAACTCCACATCGATTTAACGGTAACTATATGCAATTAATTAAGATTCCCACTTGGATCTTTTTTCCCTGACTTTCATGATAACAAGGAAAGGGTTTCTTTAAAAAGAAAGTAAGGAATGAATATGATCTGAGGCTATTCTATTTCACAGAAGGTCATTTTTGCTCTTTTAAACTGCAACGTACAACTGTGTGTTTTTTCTAAATGCTATAATGAGTTCAGACTGGATGGGTGGTTATCCTGTGTTTTAGCAAGACCCTGCATCAATATCTACTTTGAAGTAACTCAACAGCAGCAGGCGGCAGATGCAAGGCGGTGTCTATCATCAATTATTTATGGGGTTTTTTTTCACTCTCTCTATCTGTGTCTCCATCTCCATCTTTGCAGTTCGCTCCTCACCCCACCGCCACCACCTCACCGCTTTACACAAGGGTGCACAGGCACATACACACTGATGGTGCATGTGCATCCGCACAATTCCCTCTTCTGTCTGACAGAAACTAACACATACATATAGTAAAAAAGCTCCTTCTGCCTTTCTCCCTCTGTCTGTTTTTAGTCTACAAACTTACACAACTCTCTCTCTCACACACACACACACACACACACACACCGCGCGCATGGGGTTGGTGATCTTGCTTCCCCCGCAAAGTCGGTTTTATATTTTTGGCCAGTTTGCTCTTTCTCAGGTTTAAGCCGAGCTTTTTGAGGGGAAGCTCTAACACGAGGGAGCTGGATTTTTAAAAAATTGCCTGCTGAGGGTCAAAAGTTCAACCCCCCTCCAACCTCACCCTCTCCTGAATCCATCATCAACAAGCAACACCACCCACCTAGAAGCACCCCACCATGTTTCTGTCTATTTCCAGACACGATACCCCAGCGAGTCCATATCAGCTCTCATATAGCATTACAAAACCTGATTGATGGACTGAGTGAAAAGAAAGAGGCAACAGCTGCTTTCTAATTTTCTTTTGTCTCAGTTTACACCTTCATTTATAACTTTGTCTTTTTCGTAGGAGACCTGGGAATTGCAGCAAGAGCTTAAAAAATACTCTTACAATACAAGCATGGGAACCTGACAACATCACAAGACTTTTGATCATGAGTAAAATGCCAAATTCTCCCAGCAGAGGGCACTAAGAAGTCAGCCTAGCTCTTTGCTCTAATGCCACGACCCAAATAAAATCTTCCATTGACATCAAAGCTCAGCTGCTTTGATCCATTTTTAATGCCACAAGTATCGCACAAGGTTAACATCTCTCTCTGAAGGCTTTGAAATGGCAATTTCCATTAAGGAGCCGAAGGAGCTGCTCTCTTGCTTAATGGTCTGGCAGAAGTAAAAGTTGATATCTGTGCGGATACGCACACGTGTGTGAATTATCTTTATGCAGAGGGTGAAAGATTTGTCATGTTCAATAACTGATTGACAGTTACGCTTACATCAAGGTGTGTGTGTGCTTACTGAGTTTTTGCACGTGGGTCTGAGCAGCTCAGGCTGCATCCCGGTCTTCTTGCTGGCCAGTGCTCATATAATTGATCTAAGTGAAAATAGTTGTGGCCCTCTCAGAATGACAATTTTTCCCACAAAGGCCAAAAAGAAATCTCAATTGAAGGGAGACAAGAAAAGAGACTGTTTCTTTTGAGATTTACTTACAAGCATCAAAGTGAAAAAGGCTAAATTTCTTGTCTTTTTTGCATCATCTTTGTTTCTCATACACGCTACGCTGAAGCCGCACAGCCACGGGGTTAAGGCTCACAGCATAAATGGTAATATTTTTGCACCTCTGCAGACATCCTCAAACTGTGGGGCGAGGAGCCACTGCAGATGCAGTGTGGAAACCCAGGTGAAAAATAGACACGATGGCGTCTCGTGATGCTCTTATTTTTTATTTTTAATAACGATTAATAATTGATCATAGCAGAGGCGTAAGGAAAGAACTTTTTTGGTTTCTGAAGTGTAGCTGGCCTGAGAAACTTTGAGTGCCACTAGGTTAAACTATCACAATGGGCTAAGTGCTTTGAAAGAAGTGGGAGGTGTTAGTGTGTTTAACCAATTCTCTAAAGGATGATCACAAATCTCAGGGAATGGATCAAATGGGCCAGACAAACCACCAAGAGCATCAGGATACAATGCTAGGTGCGTGTCCTCCAGCACCTCTGGAGGACACGCACCTCCAGAGGTGGTGGCGGCACTTCAGGTGATGAAGTGCCGCCTTCAAGGAAGGATTTAGATTTTTATGCATCTCTTCCCTTTCTGATCGCATCTCATAGACTCTAACTGTATGTAATTTGTTAGGAGCAGGTAAAGACTTACATACCACGCTTTGTCTGAAGCAGAACAAAACGCAGCAGTCATGTGAAGAATTAAAGGACCGAACATCGAATCTGCATCGCCGACACTTCTGCTGTTGCACAGGCTTACAGAAAGCAATTTGTCAAAGGCGGTACAGGTGACTAAGCACCGAGTCGAGCCAGAAAATGCAGTTTTGTTAGAAATGAATTGACTCCAAAGTGAATGCATAAAACAAAGTCATTTAAACTATTTTGATGGCATTAGAGGCTTATTTTCCGTGCTCTCTGCCTGACTCGGGTGAAAACAGTTTCCAGAGCTCACTCACACACAACTATCCCGGATCATGAAATACGTATGAGGTCTTCAGCTGAATCGTTTATCAAATGATGTGTTTGGGGAAAACTTTGTGTAAATTTCTAACACTAAACACATCAGCAACAGTTTTGTATGGTAGGCTGTGTAGAAAAAAAAGAAAAAAAACCCCCATCTCTGTTGATGAATACATCAACATCCCATTAGAGTGAGATTCTGACCGTTTTTCAAAGCAGGAGCTATCAAAGGTGAAGCTGCTGCATTCACTAATGGCATCAGAGATCACCCTTTCCTGCTGTCCATTGTATATAAGCATGTTAATGATGTTGATGAAAAGAAAGTCTGTTAAAAATTAGAAAGGATTTTTTTTTTTTTTTTTTAAATTGGCTGCGTCCACTGGCCCACTCAACTATTTGTGTGTGTCTCATTTCGAGGATAATTTACTGCATTATTTGTCATTTTGTGTTTCATTATTCTTTGGTGCATATGTGTTTATGGACAATTAGAATCTGCAGTAATGGGGAGTTATTTCAGCCAATGGCATCGCAGAGCTCAATCAGGAGTTATTGACAGCCATTTCCCATTACGTACTGTATTTATGTGCTCCTTCAGCGCTGCATTAAATCACTGGAGTGGCACTTCACATAAATGCATCTAATTCGGCTATAAACTATGTGTTCAAAGCCACAAATGTTGCTTAGGTTATTAGGTGGACATTAAAGGGCAGTGTGGAATTCTTCATGTGCATCGAGCCGCGTGGCCGGAGCTGATGGACGAAAGCCCAGTTTCCTTACCCAGTGGGCGACAGCGGAGGGATGCTAGCAGGTGGGCTGATTGTCTTGCTACGGTATTAACTCCAATCATCATAAGTCAGACTTCACTGCACCGCCCAACAGTATTGCAGATTTCCCTGTCATCAAGCCTCCAAGCTGAGCGGAGCTCATTCAGCAATGAGGAGGCCAGGGCCCCACACAGCTGTGCACCGCTAATGGCATTAACCTCCACTAAAAAGGGGATCAAGAAAAAGAGTTGGAGGTAAAAGGACAGATGATGATGGGAGATGAAAACAAGATGGTTAAGTCACCAGTGTGATGATGACAACCTAAACTCAACACTACTTCCAATGAATGTATTAAATGTATTATCGTGTAGGACGTGATTCACAGTAAAGGGAAAAAGAAGCACTAATTAGAGACTGTATATAAAAGATGCATGTAGGCTCCGGAACATCACCCAGTGGTTTGTTTAGTCCCGATTGGAAAGCCTCTAGTTTAGCTACCCCGTGGTTTTCTCAAAATTATTCCTTTTGTTTTTATCATCGCTTTATACAAATCATCATTAGGGTGATCGTGGCTCAGGGGGTTGGGAATCGCATCTGTAACCGGAAGGTCGCCGGTTCGATCCCTGGGCTCTCTGTCCTGATCGTTGTGTCCTTGGGCAAGACACTTTACCCTACTTGCCTACTGGTGTTGGCCAGAGGGGCCGATGGCGCGATATGGCAGCCTCGCTTCTGTCAGTCTGCCCCAGGGCAGCTGTGGCTACAACCGTAGCTGCCTCCACCAGTGTGTGAATGAATAGTGGTATTGTAAAGCGCTTTGGGTGCCTTGAAAAGCGCTATATAAATCCATTATTATTATTATTATGGTCACAAATTATTCCTTTTTTTTAATCCAAAAGTCAACACATTTGAAAAAGAGGGTTGAGTGCAAAGTTATTAACATGGAAACTTGGTTAGCACGATGCATAAATACACTGTACAGCTGCTGTATGTGTGCGCAGGCACAGATAGCTGCAAAGTAGTGTTAGATAACACACAAATTTTCAAAATTAGACAGACTTATAGCGCTTTTCCACTAGTATCTCCCTGACATGG